ACAGTGATGCTACTGTGCCTTAGTGGTGAAGGGGGGCATGTTGAATGTGGTGGATGGGACACCACTCTGACACAGTGCTTCATCTGGAGGATGTTCAGTTTCTTTAATATTGTTGGGGCTGCACTGATGCGGGTAAGTGGAAAATGTTCCAACACAATCCGGATGAGTGCCTTATAGACAGCAAACAGTCATTGGGGAATCAGGTGTTTGGGGAAACTGAGATTGTTCTCCTTGTAACAAAGGAATTTGAGGGGACCTTTGATAGAGGTGTTTACAAAAGATATACATATGGATGATAAAACGTATACTCATCAACTGATCATAAAAAAGGATTACAGGACACATATTGAAAGTTTTAGGGAAGATCTATTGAGAGAATGGGGTGATTTAAGAGAGAAATTTTACACGGCAAATGGGAATGAGCAGGAACACAATACTCACACACAATGCGAATATCCAGGTCCTGATGAATTGAGTAATTCTGTCAGAGTTTGGTGTTACAATTATTGAGATTCCCACCTGAAAGTCCACTTGTAATATCCTGTAACACAAATTCATAAAATCCATAACTGTCAGTCCAGGGTAGAAATTCACAACATCTCCTCCTCCTGGCCGAGGATAACTGTGCATTGTCCCTGCTACACATTATCCCTTGTGGAGGTCAGCAGTGAATTCAGGGGGAAAACTATTTGGGTTTCTGGGAGTTTCCACCTTGGGACTTCATGTCACTGAACAGATCAGCAGGTCTTTGACACATGGCAAAGAATGGCCAAGAGTTAGTGAGATGCAGACAGCAGGATTCGTTTCCTTTTCTTTCCTTCCGTGCTGCTGCACTGCCACAATGAGACTTTGGGCCGGAAAAGCTAACGCAGCTTGATGGATAAGTTGTCTCGATTCTGAACAATGGACAGTAAGCTTCTCCCAGTCATTCGAAAGAATGCCCATTAAAAAGGTAGCAATTACGTATATGTCGTGTTGCCCAGTGTTCCCAACGAAAAGATTAGAAGAATGAGGGAGGATTTCATAAAAAAGGGATAACAGTCAAGTTTCATGAGGGTTACAGTTTATGGAGAGATATTGATAAATGGGCAAATGGAGTATAATGCGGGAAAATGTGAAGTTGTTCATTTTTGAGGAGACAACCAAAGAACACAGTGTTATTGAAAAGGTAAAAACTGTGGAAAACTGCGACACAAAGGGACTCAGGAATAATTGTGCAGGAAACACGAAGCGAGCATACAGTTGCAACAGGTAATCAGGAAGGGTAATGGGAAGTTATCCCTTATGTCAAGGTGTTTGCAGTATAAGAGTTTGGAATATATGTCTTAGGACAAATGCACAAATTGCTCGTAAGACCACATCTGGAGGAATGTGAGCAGCTTTTTTGGTCCACTTATTCAAGCAAATATATCACTTCATTGGAGGCACTTCAGAGAAGATGAACTAGGATGATCATTGGTTTGGAGGGATTATCTTTTAAGCTAAGACTAAACAGGTTTAGAACCTACTAACTAGATTTTTGAAGAATGAGAGATGATCTAATTAAAAATATAGGATTCTTAAGGGAGTTGACAGGATAAATGCTGAGGGGATATTTCCCATCGTGGGAGCAGATTCTTGATAAGGCGGAGAATAGAGCGTTCTCTTTTGGAATCGTCAAAGTTAAGGCAACACAGACATGGGTAAGGGGTTTCAGTCGCAAATGAGCTGGAGTGAGGTGGAGAGAAGGAGCATTTTAGAGATTGAAGTTTCTGGCATTTGTGATTGAGAAGATGTATGGTAAGATGTTCATCTTGAGGCCAGATATGACAGCATTATTGAGAAGAGTGCAGTTCAGCCTTAGACAGTTCCCAGCGAGAGGGATGGATTCAGTACAGTAGTAAGGAAAAGTAATTTGTAATAACAACTGAAGGCAATGGGTCTAACTATTACAAAGTGTTATTGGAGGAAATTTCAGCTAATCAAGTAGTGGAAGCATGCTAAGCAGTTTTATAATTGAGTAACAGTGGGGCAAAGGAGAGTGATGGAGGGGAGTTAGATCTGAACATTGTAGTATACGTGTGAAACCTAACACGGTGCTTGTGGAAGATCTCACCTCCTGGCAGTATGTCGGCGAGAAATAGGATGGGCCAAGGATAGATCCTTGAGGGACATCGACTACATGGATTTCAGACAGGAAAGAGAGAGTGGAGATGGAGTGGGATTTTCCAATGACGGTGAGGTCAAATATTGGTTTCAAACAGAATGGGTAAGAAGGACATAACCAGAAAAGAGAAACAGACAGAACAAGTAACAATATCTGTGAATTGGCATGGGGGAGAGGCAAGGAGGAGGAGGAGAAATAAGACAGAGTTAGAATGTTTGTAGTTTAGCGAGAATAGGGCAAAGGGTTAAGATGAGCTCTGATAAGGCTTGACACGAGACTGGAAAAAGATGCAAGTTTAGGACTAAAACGAGGAGCAACATGCAAGGCAATTTGGTTTGGTGGGCTCGTGGAAGAGAGGGAAGCAGCAGAGACAGCTGATTGGATTGTCTCAATCTTAGTGACATAGAAACTCCATGTGTCTCCCTCACTTGTTGTTGGAGGGGAGGATGGAAAAGACAGGATGATGGACGTGTTTTGCAAAGAAACAATGCCTGTGTTAGTTACATTTAAAAATGAGTGAACAAACCTGATGTACTTAACTTTTATCCAGAATATTAAAATGTACAACAGAAGTCGGGGTTCGAATCCCATGTCAGCAGATGGTGGAATTTGAATTCAATAAAAAATAACTGGAATTAAGAATCAACTGGTTGCCATGGAACCATTGCTAATGGCAGAAAAAAAATCTAATGTCCTTCAGGGAAAGAAATTGGCCAACCTCAGCAAGCCACTCAGTTGCAAATCACTGCAAAGTCTCAACAAAGGAATGAAACTGGGTGGACCACTTGGCATCTACCAAGGCACTAGGAAAGACAACTGCAGAATCAGCCCTATCGACCCCGCAAACTCCTCCTTACTAATATCTGGGGGCCAGTGGCAAAATTTGGAGAGCTGACTCAAAGACTAGTCAAGAAACAGCGTCATATGCATGGAATCATACCTTACAGACAATGACACACGTCACTATCACTGTCCTTAGATGAGTCCTGTCCCACGAGAAGGACAGACCTGGCAGACGTAGCAACACAGTGGTATTCTGACCAGATTGATTTGACCTGAGAGTACTCAACACTGACTCTGACGCCTAGGAGTCTCATGGCTCCTGCTGATTACCATGTACCATCCTCCCTCGGTTGATAAATCGGCAGCAGTATTATTGCTGGATTATTAATCCAGAGACCCAGCTAACGTTCTGGGGACTTGGGTTCGAATCCTGCCATGGTAGATGGTGGAATTTGAATTAAATAATGATCTGGAATTAAGAGTCTAATGATGACCATGAAACCATTGCCGATTATCAGGATAGACCGATCTGGTTCACTGATGTCCTTTTGGGAAGGAAATCTGCCATCCTTACTTGGTCTGGACTACATGTGACTCCAAACCTACAGCAATGTGGTTGACTCTTAACTGCCTTCTGGGCAATTAGGGATGGGCAATAAACGCTGGCAAAGCCAGCGATTTCCACATCCCAAGAGTGAATTTTAATAAAAAAAACTCCTCCATGTTGAACAGCACTTGGAGGAAGCACTGAGAGTGTAAATGGCACCAAATGTACTCAATGTCCACCATCAGGAGTAGTTTGCAGCAGGATTATCAATCAAGGTGGTCGGGTTCTAAAGGACAAAGCTGCCTGGCTGGGACTGCAGCAGGTGGTGACGCAACCAACAAAAGGGAAAAACATAGCTGATCTCATTGTCACGAATTTCTCAGCTGCAGATGCATCTGTCCTTGACAGGATTGATAACAGCGACCACCGCACAGTCCCGTGGAGACAAAGCCTCATCTTAAACTGGAGAATACCCTCCATTGTGTTGAGCGGCACTAACATCGGCTAAATGGGACAGACTTGGAACAGATATAGGAACTCAAAACCAGATATCTATGAGGCTTTGTGGGACATCAACAGCAGCAGAACTTACTCCAGCACAATCTGTAACCTCATGGCCCAGCATATCCTGCACTCAACCATTACCATTGATCCAGGGGATCAACACTGGTTGAATGGATAGTATAGGAGGGCATGCCAAGAACAGCACCAGGTATACCTAAAAATAAGGTGCCAACCTGGTAAAACTACCAAACAGGACTATCTGCATGCCAAATAGCATAAGCAGCAAGAGTTAGAGCTAAGCCACCCCATAACCAATAGATCAGATCTAAGCTCTGCAGTTCTGCCACACCCAGTCGTGAATGGTGATGGACAATTAAACAACTCACTGGAGGAAGCATGCCAAAAATCCCCATCCTTACTGACAGAGGAGCCCAACCTATCCATGCAAAAGATAAGACTGCAGAATTTGCAACAATCTTCAGCCAGAAGTGCCAATTGGATGATCCATCTCAGCCTTCTTCAGAGGTCCCCAACGTCACAGATGAAAGTTTTCATCCAATCTGATTCATTTCAAATAATATTAATAAATGGATGAATAGTGCAAAGGTTATGGGTCCTGGCAATAGTACCGATGACTTGTGCTCGAGATCTTGCTACCCGCCAAGCCAAACTGTTTCAGTACTGTTACAGCACCAGCATCTACCGACAATTTGGAACATTGCCCAGGTCTGTTGAGCACAAAAACACAGAGCAAATCCAACCTGACCAATCTCCCCTCAAGCAGTCTACACTCTATCATCAGTAAAGTGATGGAAGGTGTCGTCAACAGCGCTATTAAGCAGCACTTACTCAGCAGTAACCTGCTCAGTGACACCCAGTTTGGGTTCCGCCGGACACTCAGTTCCTGATCTTATTACAGACTTGATCCACAAATTCACAAACAGCTGAATTCCTGAGGTGAGGTGAGGGTAACTGCAGAGTCCTGCACCAAAACCACTTATTTCCACTTCAGTGACAATGACCTGACCCCACCTTAGTTTCAGCTCATCTGCTGAACCTCTCATCCATTCCTGTGTTACCTCTCGACTTAACTATCCACACACACTCCCAGTCAGCCTCTCACATTCAACGTCCCTGTAATCTCAAGAATATCTAAAATTCTGCTGCACACATGTTCATTTGTACCAAAACCTGTTCACCCATCACTGTTGTGCTCCCTGACCCATAAAGGCTCCTATCTATAAGCAACAACAATTTAAAATTCTCACTCTTGATTTAATTCCTGGCTGTGATGATCCCTATCTCCCTGCACCACACAACCTTCGAGACTCCAACAATGCATTTAATCATTGCTTCACAATTGGAGGCTGTTTCTACAGTTGCCAGGCAACATGGTCTGGAATTCCCATGATAAACCTCTCAGGTTTGCTTTCCTTCTTTAAGATATTCATGAAAACCTGCGCATTTGGTCATGCTTTTGGTCACCTGACCTAATATTTATATCTATGGCCTTACATCAAAAGTTCCTTGATAACATTTTTGTGAAATTATAAACATGATAAAAATAAAAATTACACCATACACCATCAGCTCTTCAGTATCGC